CTCTATGCAGGATGTGTGAACAGGAAGATGAGACTGTCAGGCATGTCCTGTGCGAGTGCCCGGAGTTATCGTCAATAAGAGAGTGTGTGTTCGGCGAGTCTTGGCCTACACCTGCCGATATAAAGGAGATGTCTCCCAGCGACCTGTCCACCTTCCTGGAAAGGACAGGATGGACGATGACCTAGGAGGACAACTCCTCGGGAGGATGTACAATGGGTCACATGTGGCCTAAGTGCGTGGGCTTACACTCACCCTCCCTACTCTACAGATACAAATACTTTTCAAGGAATTCGAAACAAATACCATCAATTTCATTTGAAACTAGATAGATACATGATGGTAAGTCCTTTGGTATGCTTCAATTTCGAAGATAGTTTTACAAGCGTACCTTGATATAAAGAATATGGAACCTCTGATGTAAAATGAATCAATTGAAAACACTTTCCTCTCCCCAGAATAAAACTATTGTCTTTCGAGGAACGTTTCGCTAACAAATTCAGTATCATCAGGAGATGAATATAACCGGAGTTTAATACCAACACCAAGCCGTTATTTTTAATATCTCGACACATGTTTCAATTACCAAGTGGTCATCTTCAAGAGGAAGAGGAAGGAACTTACTAATCTATTTCAAAACTGTAATTTGATAGTTATGAACATACTTTTGTTCAAGTGGATTTTCTCCAAGGATATCATTGCTAGTTTTTAGCTGGGAGTAACCCGCTTCATTCAGGGAGTTTGTATTTGATTGTTGTAATTGGAATCTGCTGAGAATCTGTTAAAATTTGTTTTTCCGTTAACCAGCTCAGAAGCATAAACTCTAAATCATCTAAAGTCGACAAATCTTACTTTATATACCATAAAAATATAACTATATGTTCTAAAATGTGAAATGCTTTCGAATATTCTCGAACTTTCTAGAGGGCGGAACTTTCTGTTCTGATATTTTCAAAAGATCACCTTTCTGGTAAAACAGAATGTTTCTTCTTGGATGAGCGATAGATGACTACTACACAATATAACTCTTTTGATCGTTCCACGATGATATGGGATGTTCCAGAATATTCCTGAACATCCAAATAATAGGAAAGTTCTGGAATGTTGTGGAATCCTGTCGAATATTCCAGAATGTATTTGAAAAAGCATGCCTTTCAGATTGAAATGAAAACATTTTTCATGGATATGGTATAGAAGATAACAACAACATATCGTCAGAAGGGCGCCAAGAAATATTCAATTAAACAGTTCGGCAATATTCCTGGAACTTCTAATTCTTGAATTGACGAAATTCAAAAATTTTGCAATTTTCTACTCTTTCATTGTTTTCTCTCCAATTCGCATTCGAAAGTATTTCAATTTTTCAAGTAAGTCAAAAATGTAGTATTAAGGGCGCCGTGAATAAAATCTGATTATTCGAGGAGCCGCAAACCGAAAAAGATTGGGAACCTTTGGTCTAGAGGAAGGAACTTCCAGCTATATATATCTTTTTACCAGCTGACTTTTCAGGCACAAATAGAAAATTTGCTTCAAAAATGTAAACTTTCTTCATAGAAGGGGATAGAGAGTTACCACACCATATTGGTGCATGAATATTACTGGAGTTTTTTCCCAACACCAAATCGTTATTTTTAACACCTCGACACGTGTTTCGATCACCAAGTGATCATCTTCAAAGAGATCGTTATAGCTTCAAACAACTGTTCACTTTAAAAAAAATGTGAGTAATTTCAGAAAAACAGGGGATATTCAAAGTCAATAACTTGTAGATGAAATTTTATATTCACCTCGAAAAATTGTAAGCTGGAGTCAAATGAGACATGTGAAAGGTTTTATTTTGAAGAAAAATATTTGGATCTAATATTTGTTAATTTTCATTGGGTTCATAATATATTTTCATTTTTCATTGTTCCTAACAAGGTAAAAAATCCACCCTAGAATCGGGAACTACCCAAGCGTGTACTATGGTCTCAGATACTAATTTATTATGATTTGTAGCGGCGCCAAAATTCTCAAAAAAATAATTTTCTGCCGCATTAAAAATCGAAGACGAAATCTTCTTTCGGCTCGAAGATTTCAATAAAACATAATATCGATCCCATCGATAATTGAGGATGTCTAGTATGGGAAAGAGCTGATGGAATGCAGTTTTGTTCTGCCTTTGAGGGGTAGGCCTCTCAAACTTGTTAAAATTACAAAGTCAGCGCTTGATATATGCTCACAGGGTGTGGTGAATCGAAGTGCCGGTTCTCAGACGTAATTACTCACTTTGTTACGAATGGAGGATTGTTGTTGCTAGTAGGAAAAAATCTTCAGTCGTCGGTAGAAAGTTGATGACAAAACAAATTTTCAATTGAAAAGTCATACGAAGGTGGTGTCTTTGTTGTGGTAGTTTGGTATTATGCATGTTTTAAATCTGATCAACGTGAAACAACAATATATCAAAAACTGTTTTAATAAAATAATGAGAGCTTGTTACATACTGAGTTTCATGACGAAAGTGGAGGCAAACTGCGATAACTGCTTTAAATAATTAATATTGACTAATATGTTCACTAAAAAGCAAACCTGGAAAAACTGAAAATCTGATAGAGGATGATTTTTGATAATTTTGTTGACTATCCAATCAAATAAACATATTACTATCAGTTTGTGAATTGATATTAGGATACTTCATTAGTTCTCAACCAAATGAAATAATGTTCATGGGTTAATATGCATATTTTTGAAAGTGGTCTAAAAATGTTGTTGAATATTTATATTGAAGTTCATATATACATTCGAAGGTATGAATGAAGTTTTGGTTATTGCTCCCAAAATCGAGACATTCTGGATTTTCTCAACATTTGTTGTATTTGCGGTATTGCCGAATTTCTCCTAATACTCGACTAATATCATAATGTAGTTTTGTTTTTAATGTGTATCTCATTTTATTTTATATTTTACTTTAATTTAATTTTATTTCATTTTATTAAAAAGAATTGAATTTACTGTTATTTTGTGCTAACGGGTAAATCGGTTTGAAAATCAATATATCTGTTTGTTTACATCAAAATCGTTCTAGAATTCAGATGAAACTAATGATTTTCTCTATTCGTTCAATCTCAAAAAATTTCAAAGGGATACTCGTCATAGTTGGAGAAATGATTAAACTTTCAAAAACAAAACTGTATATTGAAGCTGTAGTTATGTGACATCAAGTATTTTTCCTTGAGATAGGATATGATATATAAATAATACTGTTTTCACAGTAGATAATTCAATGAAAATAATGATTAGTCAGATTATCTTGAATCAAGTTTGGTTTTCAGTATAATTTATTTTCGAATAATATCTTTAAGTGCTGTGAATCATACCCATTCATAGTTGAGAGTCTTCCATTTCGCAAACTCTTTGAAATTTTCAAGAAGTTCAGAATAGAAACATTATACTGTCTTCTATTGCTGATGAAATTGCAGTATTTTAATATTTTTACAATAGTTTCATTTTATTGTGAATAACAGATAATACGGGTAATACAGATTATAAGCTTATCAGAAAAGTTTCTGCATCTTTTATTTTTCTCAGAAATTGATTTTCCAAAATGTGAAATTCAATACATAATATTTATTGGGAAAAAAGGTACTGGCTTTCTACTTCTCAATCTTGATACAAAAAAAGTTATTCTGTACAAAGATATGTAGATCATGCAAAAAACTAACTTTCAGATACCAACTGGACATTGGGTTACACGAAAGAAAAATATTTTTGAAACAAATACTTTTTTTTCAGTATGTATTCCCAAAATTCGTTATGGAATGGAATCAGATATCATTCATAGGATTCCTACGCAATATGGTAAATGAAAGAGGTGAAATTTCACTCACATGGAACACTGTGGAAATCCAATGTTTCGGTATGAGACACTTGCCTTATCGCCTCCTCTGCACCAAATATGAATCACATTATAAGATGAAGAACTATTCATTCATAAAATCACGACTTGATGTCACGAATGAGTTAAATCTACATCGGATGTCCACCATTGAGGATGGCAATGTTCCATGTAAGTGAAATTTCACTTCTTTCATTCACTATATTGTGTAGCAATCCTGTAAATGATATCTGCTTCAATTCCATAACGGATGTTTAGAATATAAACTGAATAGAGAAAATTATATAAAAATATTTGCTTTGAAAGGATTTTTCTTTCGTGTAATTCAATATATATATGAAAGTAGCTGTTCATAGAGAGCCTTTTTCCAGTTTGTGGCTGAAAGTTACTTTTTGGCGTGATCTACACATCCTTGTATAGAGTTAATTTTTCAAAATCGGTTGCTTTCTTTCTCTGCTTTGAAAGATACCCACTTTTTTGTATAAAGATGGAGAAACAGAAAAACAAAACCTTTCCCGAATTCAGTTATTCCTAAAAAAGAAAAATTGATCCTGATGAGTCCTGGTATCA